CTTGTCACTCAACATTATCCTTGTCACTCAACATTATCCTGGTCACTCAACATTACCCCTTGTCACTCAACATTATCCTTGTCACTCAACATTATCCTTGTCACTCAACATTATCCTTGTCACTCAACATTACCCCTTGTCACTCAACATTACCCCTTGTCACTCAACATTATCCTGGTCACTCAACATTACCCCTTGTCACTCAACATTATCCTTGTCACTCAACATTACCCTTGTCACTCAACATTATCCTTGTCACTCAACATTATCCTTGTCACTCAACATTATCCTTGTCACTCAACATTACCCCTTGTCACTCAACATTATCCTGGTCACTCAACATTACCCTTGTCACTCAACATTATCCTTGTCACTCAACATTATCCTTGTCACTCAACATTACCCTTGTCACTCAACATTATCCTTGTCACTCAACATTATCCTTGTCACTCAACATTACCCCTGGTCACTCAACATTATCCTTGTCACTCAACATTACCCCTGGTCACTCTACATTACCCTTGTCACTCAACATTATCCTTGTCACTCAACATTACCCTTGTCACTCAACATTAGCCTTGTCACTCAACATTACCCTTGTCACTCAACATTATCCTTGTCACTCAACATTATCCTTGTCACTCAACATTACCCCTTGTCACTCAACATTACCCTTGTCACTCAACATTATCCTTGTCACTCAACATTACCCCTTGTCACTCAACATTACCCTTGTCACTCAACATTATCCTTGTCACTCAACATTACCCTTGTCACTCAACATTATCCTTGTCACTCAACATTACCCTTGTCACTCAACATTATCCTTGTCACTCAACATTACCCTTGTCACTCAACATTATCCTTGTCACTCAACATTATCCTTGTCACTCAACATTACCCCTTGTCACTCAACATTACCCTTGTCACTCAACATTATCCTTGTCACTCAACATTACCCCTTGTCACTCAACATTACCCTTGTCACTCAACATTACCCTTGTCACTCAACATTATCCTTGTCACTCAACATTACCCTTGTCACTCAACATTACCCCTTGTCACTCAACATTATCCTTGTCACTCAACATTACCCTTGTCACTCAACATTATCCTTGTCACTCAACATTACCATTGTCACTCAACATTATCCTTGTCACTCAACATTATCCTTGTCACTCAACATTACCCCTTGTCACTCAACATTACCCTTGTCACTCAACATTATCCTTGTCACTCAACATTACCCTTGTCACTCAACATTATCCTTGTCACTCAACATTATCCTTGTCACTCAACATTACCCCTTGTCACTCAACATTACCCTTGTCACTCAACATTATCCTTGTCACTCAACATTACCCCTTGTCACTCAACATTACCCTTGTCACTCAACATTATCCTTGTCACTCAACATTACCCTTGTCACTCAACATTATCCTTGTCACTCAACATTACCCCTTGTCACTCAACATTATCCTTGTCACTCAACATTACCCTTGTCACTCAACATTATCCTTGTCACTCAACATTATCCTTGTCACTCAACATTACCCCTTGTCACTCAACATTATCCTTGTCACTCAACATTACCCTTGTCACTCAACATTACCCTTGTCACTCAACATTATCCTTGTCACTCAACATTACCCTTGTCACTCAACATTACCCCTTGTCACTCAACATTATCCTTGTCACTCAACATTACCCTTGTCACTCAACATTACCCTTGTCACTCAACATTACCCCTTGTCACTCAACATTACCCCTTGTCACTCAACATTACCCCTTGTCACTCAACATTACCCCTTGTCACTCAACATTACCCCTTGTCACTCAACATTATCCTTGTCACTCAACATTATCCTTGTCACTCAACATTACCCTTGTCACTCAACATTATCCTTGTCACTCAACATTATCCTTGTCACTCAACATTACCCTTGTCACTCAACATTACCCTTGTCACTCAACATTACCCCTTGTAACTCAACATTACCCCTTGTCACTCAACATTACCCTTGTCACTCAACATTACCCTTGTAACTCAACATTACCCCTTGTCACTCAACATTACCCTTGTAACTCAACATTACCCCTTGTCACTCAACATTATCCTTGTAACTCAACATTACCCTTGTCACTCAACATTACCCCTTGTCACTCAACATTACCCCTTGTCACTCAACATTATCCTTGTCACTCAACATTATCCTTGTAACTCAACATTACCCCTTGTCACTCAACATTACCCTTGTCACTCAACATTACCCCTTGTAACTCAACATTACCCTTGTCACTCAACATTACCCCTTGTCACTCAACATTACCCCTTGTCACTCAACATTACCCCTTGTCACTCAACATTACCCCTTGTCACTCAACATTACCCCTTGTCACTCAACATTACCCCTTGTCACTCAACATTACCCTTGTCACTCAACATTATCCTTGTAACTCAACATTACCCTTGTCACTCAACATTACCCTTGTCACTCAACATTATCCTTGTCACTCAACATTACCCTTGTCACTCAACATTACCCTTGTCACTCAACATTACCCTTGTCACTCAACATTACCCTTGTCACTCAACATTACCCCTTGTCACTCAACATTATCCTTGTAACTCAACATTACCCTTGTCACTCAACATTACCCTTGTCACTCAACATTATCCTTGTCACTCAACATTACCCTTGTCACTCAACATTACCCTTGTCACTCAACATTATCCTTGTCACTCAACATTATCCTTGTAACTCAACATTACCCTTGTCACTCAACATTACCCTTGTCACTCAACATTACCCTTGTCACTCAACATTACCCTTGTCACTCAACATTATCCTTGTCACTCAACATTACCCTTGTCACTCAACATTACCCTTGTCACTCAACATTACCCTTGTCACTCAACATTACCCTTGTCACTCAACATTATCCTTGTCACTCAACATTACCCCTTGTCACTCAACATTACCCTTGTCACTCAACATTACCCCTTGTCACTCAACATTACCCTTGTCACTCAACATTACCCTTGTCACTCAACATTACCCCTTGTCACTCAACATTATCCTTGTCACTCAACATTATCCTTGTCACTCAACATTACCCTTGTCACTCAACATTATCCTTGTCACTCAACATTATCCTTGTCACTCAACATTACCCTTGTCACTCAACATTACCCTTGTCACTCAACATTACCCCTTGTCACTCAACATTACCCCTTGTCACTCAACATTACCCTTGTCACTCAACATTACCCTTGTAACTCAACATTACCCCTTGTCACTCAACATTACCCTTGTAACTCAACATTACCCCTTGTCACTCAACATTATCCTTGTAACTCAACATTACCCTTGTCACTCAACATTACCCCTTGTCACTCAACATTACCCCTTGTCACTCAACATTATCCTTGTCACTCAACATTATCCTTGTCACTCAACATTATCCTTGTAACTCAACATTACCCCTTGTCACTCAACATTACCCTTGTCACTCAACATTACCCCTTGTAACTCAACATTACCCTTGTCACTCAACATTACCCCTTGTCACTCAACATTACCCCTTGTCACTCAACATTACCCCTTGTCACTCAACATTACCCCTTGTCACTCAACATTACCCCTTGTCACTCAACATTACCCCTTGTCACTCAACATTACCCTTGTCACTCAACATTATCCTTGTAACTCAACATTACCCTTGTCACTCAACATTACCCTTGTCACTCAACATTATCCTTGTCACTCAACATTACCCTTGTCACTCAACATTACCCTTGTCACTCAACATTACCCTTGTCACTCAACATTACCCTTGTCACTCAACATTACCCTTGTCACTCAACATTACCCCTTGTCACTCAACATTATCCTTGTAACTCAACATTACCCTTGTCACTCAACATTACCCTTGTCACTCAACATTATCCTTGTCACTCAACATTACCCTTGTCACTCAACATTACCCTTGTCACTCAACATTATCCTTGTCACTCAACATTATCCTTGTAACTCAACATTACCCTTGTCACTCAACATTACCCTTGTCACTCAACATTACCCTTGTCACTCAACATTACCCTTGTCACTCAACATTATCCTTGTCACTCAACATTACCCTTGTCACTCAACATTACCCTTGTCACTCAACATTACCCTTGTCACTCAACATTACCCTTGTCACTCAACATTACCCTTGTCACTCAACATTACCCCTTGTCACTCAACATTACCCTTGTCACTCAACATTACCCCTTGTCACTCAACATTACCCTTGTCACTCAACATTACCCTTGTCACTCAACATTACCCTTGTCACTCAACATTATCCTTGTCACTCAACATTACCCCTTGTCACTCAACATTACCCTTGTCACTCAACATTACCCTTGTCACTCAACATTATCCTTGTCACTCAACATTACCCCTTGTCACTCAACATTACCCTTGTCACTCAACATTACCCTTGTCACTCAACATTACCCTTGTCACTCAACATTATCCTTGTCACTCAACATTACCCTTGTCACTCAACATTACCCTTGTCACTCAACATTACCCCTTGTCACTCAACATTACCCTTGTCACTCAACATTATCCTTGTCACTCAACATTACCCCTTGTCACTCAACATTACCCCTTGTCACTCAACATTACCCTTGTCACTCAACATTACCCTTGTCACTCAACATTACCCCTTGTCACTCAACATTATCCTTGTCACTCAACATTATCCTTGTCACTCAACATTACCTGTTGAACATAATATTGAACTCTCAACAATGTTATACATATTATTATCAAGATGTTCACTGGTGCATAATGTTCACTGATATGCATTCAAAGAACAAATTAGAACAATTTAGTTGATAACAACCACTCTAATCTATATCCCTTTGTTAAGAGTTTAAGTGGCATTCTTTTAGCAAGTTATTGTTGTAAATTGTTAGCAAGTTAGCGTGGCACTCCTCTAACAAGCTTGGGTGGCACTCCTCTAACAAGCTTGGGTGGCACTCCTCTAACAAGCTTGGGTGGCACTCTTCTAACAAGCTTGGGTGGCACTCCTCTAACAAGCTTGGGTGGCACTCCTCTAACAAGCTTGGGTGGCACTCCTCTAACAAGCTTGGGTGGCACTCCTCTAACAAGCTTGGGTGGCACTCCTATAACAAGCTTGGGTGGCACTCCTCTAACAAACTTGGGTGGCACTCCTCTAACAAGCTTGGGTGGCACTCTTCAAAGAAGCTAAGTTGAAATTCTTGCAACAAGCTGAGGTGAAACTGTTGGAGATTGCATTTCAGCTTAGCCGCGTCATTAAGTCTTTCCTTAAGACTTTGAATCAAGTTCCACTTTGGGGTAAATCCAGTTCTTCTCATTCCTGTTTAGTCGAGGAAAAATCGTTGTTTTCCAGCGGTGGAGGAGGAAGGTTGTGTGTGGGAGAATGGTCTCCCACTTTAAGTGGTGGGCACGTGGACTGTAGTCGACCCGTGTGCACGCTCAGTGAGCGACTTGTGCACGCACAGTGAACGACTTGTGCACGCACAGTGCACAAACGCTACCTCCATTATTACTGGGCTAAAATCTAGCTTGTATGATCTCATATTGAAGCCCACACAAGGCTTGCAGCTCGATGACGTAGTCAGAGCCCTCATGTGTTCAGCTAATGAGGAGACAGAGACTTAATGAGGAGACAGACAGTTAATGAGGAGACAGATACTTAATGAGAAGACAGACAGTTAATGAGGAGACAGATACTTAATGAGAAGACAGACAGTTAATGAGGAGACAGATACTTAATGAGGAGACAGACAGTTAATGAGGAGACAGATACTTAATGAGGAGACAGACAGTTAATGAGGAGACAGATACTTAATGAGGAGACAGACAGTTAATGAGGAGACAGATACTTAATGAGAAGACAGACAGTTAATGAGGAGACAGATACTTAATGAGGAGACAGACAGTTAATGAGGAGACAGATACTTAATGAGGAGACAGACAGTTAATGAGGAGACAGATACTTAATGAGGAGACAGACAGTTAATGAGGAGACAGATACTTAATGAGGAGACAGACAGTTAATGAGGAGACAGATACTTAATGAGGAGACAGACAGTTAATGAGGAGACAGATACTTAATGAGGAGACAGACAGTTAATGAGGAGACAGATACTTAATGAGGAGACAGACAGTTAATGAGGAGACAGATACTTAATGAGGAGACAGACAGTTAATGAGGAGACAGATACTTAATGAGGAAACAGGCAGTTAATGAGGAGAGACAGAGAGAGAGAGAGAGAGAGAACATAGAAATTCTTTTTACAGAGCCCATAGCCAGCTGTCAGCCATTTTGGAAAGCTCATCAATGAGTCCTCCGCCTTACTCATTGCTGTAGAGATTGTGAGTCTGGTCCACTCAGGAGTGGTGAGTTACTCATCACCTCACGACCATAGTTACACGAGACTACTAAGGACCCGTTATGTCTAAATGCCACGCAATATCCCATCGCTAACTGGCCAATCACAGGAACAAAGGCTGATGATGACTTGAGGCCTCTTGAGCACCGGGACAACTGTTTCAGTCTAGAACACCTGTCATAACACTTATTCCAGTCTAGAACACCTGTCTTAACACTTGCTACACTCTAGAACACCTGTCATAACATGTGTTCCAGTCTAGAACACCTGTCTTAACACTTGTTACAGTCTAGAACACCTGTCATAACACTTGTTACAGTCTAGAACACCTGTCATAACACTTGTTACAGTCTAGAACACATGTCATAGAGTGGTCCCTAATTCGAAAACACATTGTCTGCTGGCCAGCTGCCTGTGTTCTGCTGGCCAGCTGCCTGTGTTCTGCTGGCCAGCTGCTTGTGTTCTGCTGCCCAGCAGCTGCTCTACGTGAGGTGACGAGCAGCTGTACACCTCATGTGTCACCTTAGTGCGTGTCCCCCTCGACGTGTCTGCCTCCTTGCTGACATATGTGTGATCTACATGGATACCTTGTGTAGTTGTTGTAGACCTCAACACCTGCACAACACCACTACTCCATCACCACAACACCACCACCACCACACCACCACACCACACCACCACCACAACACAACACCACCACCACCACACCACCACACCACAACACCACACCACACCACTCCACCACCATACCACCACAACACCACCACACCACAACACCACCACACCACAACACCACACCACTACACCACCACACCACCACCACCACACCACCACACCACTCCACCACCACAACACAACACCACCACCACCACAACACCACACCACCACCACCACAACACCACACCACTACACCACCACACCACCACCACCACACCACCACACCACTCCACCACCACAACACAACACCACCACCACCACAACACCACACCACCACCACAACACAACCACACCACCAGCACACTACCACACCACAACACCACACCACCACCACACCACCACCAGCCTCCCAATCTTCATCTCTCTCATCTCCCACTCTCATACCCACCAGACATAACCTGATCCCCTTAAATCAACACCACTAAACACAAATACATTAAGAATTAATATCTCATCTCCAAATGGAATATTAAACCACAGATACTTTCTCCTGCTGCTGGCTCATGTTACTTCCTCAGGGAAGCTATGTTTCCTGCCCAACCTGTCCTCATAACCAATCCTAACTGATGTGTCGTGATGCATGCGTCCTGAGTGAGTTCTCAGAGCTTTATCCTGCCGTCCTTGTCGTCTCTCTCGTCGTGTTAGCAGCTGAGGTCAATGTTTTTCTTTCACGTGAGTCGTACAATGGCTACTGTGGTCTGAGAGGCTGCTATAGCATGCAGGAAATAACGGAGAGTAATGGAGATGAAACACAGATGTGTAAATATTAGTGGAAGCTGCAGTTGCAGACTGTTGAACACTCAGATTGTGTTGCAGGAGTCACCGGAGCAGCGAAGGGTGTGTGTACAATGATCCTGTGAAGACATGGAGCCAGATTCACGAAGCAGTTACGCAAGCACTTACGAACCTGTACATCTTTACTCAATCTTTGGCGGCTTTGTTTACAATTATTACACAGTTAATGAGCTCCGATGCTGTAGCATGCTGTAGGATGCTGTTGGATGCTGTAGCATACTGTAGGATGCTGTTTGATGCTGTAGGACGCTGAAGCATACTGTAGAGTGCTGTAGGATGCTGTAGCATACTGTAGGATGCTGTAGCATACTGTAGGATGTTGTAGGATGCTGTAGGTTACTGTAGCATACTGTAGGATGTTGTAGAATGCTGTAGGATGCTGTAGCATACTGTAGGATGCTGTAGGATGCTGTAGCATACTGTAGGATGCTGTAGGATACTGTTGGATGCTGTAGGATGCTGTAGCATACTGTAGGATGCTGTAGCATACTGTAGGATGTTGTAGGATGCTGTAGGTTACTGTAGCATACTGTAGGATGCTGTAGAATGCTGTTGGATGCTGTAGGATGCTGAAGCATACTGTAGAGTGCTGTAGGATGCTGTTGGATGCTGTAGGATGCTGTAGCATACTGTAGGATGCTGTAGGATGCTGTAGCATACTGTAGGATGCTGTAGCATACTGTAGGATGCTGTAGGGTTCTGTAGCATACTGTAGGATGCTGTCGGATGCTGTAGCATACTGTAGGATGCTGTAGCATACTGTAGGATGCTGTAGCATACTGTAGAATGCTGTAGGATGCTGTAGCATACTGTAGGATGCTGTAGCATACTGTAGTATGATGTAGGACGCTGTAGCATACTGTAGGATGCTGTAGGATGCTGTAGCATACTGTAGGATGCTGCAGGATGCTGTAGGATGCTGCGGCATACTGTAGGCTGCTGTAGGATGCTGCAGGATGCTGCAGGATGCTGTAGCATACTGTAGGATGCTGTAGGATGCTGTAGCATACTGTAGGATGCTGTAGGATGCTGTAGCATACTGTAGGATGCTGCAGGATGCTGTAGGATGCTGTGGCATACTGTAGGCTGCTGTAGGATGCTGCAGGATGCAGCAGGATGCTGTAGCATACTGTAGGATGCTGTAGCATACGGTAGGATGCTGTAGGATGCTGTAGCATACTGTAGGATGCTGTAGCATACTGTAGGATGATGCAGGATGCTGTAGGATGCTGTAGCATACTGTAGGATGCTGTAGGATGCTGTAGCATACTGTAGGATGATGCCGGATGCTGCAGGATGCTGTAGCATACTGTAGGATGCTGCAGGATGCTGTAGCATACTGTAGGATGCTGTAGCATACTGTAGGATGATGCAGGATGATGCAGGATGCTGTAGCATACTGTAGGATGCTGTAGCATACTGTAGGATGCTGTAGGATGCTGTAGCATACTGTAGGATGCTGTAGGATGCTGTAGCATACTGTAGGATGATGCCGGATGCTGCAGGATGCTGTAGCATACTGTAGGATGCTGCAGGATGCTGTAGCATACTGTAGGATGCTGTAGCATACTGTAGGATGATGCAGGATGATGCAGGATGCTGTAGCATACTGTAGGATGCTGCAGGATGCTGCAGGATGCTGTAGCATACTGTAGGATGCTGTAGCATACTGTAGGATGCTGTAGGATGCTGTAGCATACTGTAGGATGCTGTAGGATGCTGTAGCATACTGTAGGATGATGCCGGATGCTGCAGGATGCTGTAGCATACTGTAGGATGCTGCAGGATGCTGTAGCATACTGTAGGATGCTGTAGCATACTGTAGGATGCTGCAGGATGCTGTAGCATACTGTAGGATGCTGTAGGATGCTGTAGCATACTGTAGGATGCTGTAGGATGCTGTAGCATACTGTAGGATGATGCAGGATGCTGTAGCATACTGCAGGATGCTGCAGGATGCTGTAGGATGCCCCGTGCCCCTGTTTGCCGTCAGTGCGGAACTGATATGACGCATCGTAAGAGAAGACCATTGAGAACGCTCCCATTGGAGCTGAAGAAACTTGAGAAAGTTGTATGAGAAAGTTCAGCTGGAGTTTGTTTAAAGGAGATACCAGGTTATACCTCAGGCGACTGGTGTGAGGGAGGTGCAGGGAGACGTCACCAGGGGCCAGATTCACGAAGCAGTTACGCAAGCACTTACGAACCTGGGGGCCAGATTCACGAAGCAGTTACGCAAGCACTTACGAACCTGGAGCCAGATTCACGAAGCAGTTACGCAAGCACTTACGAACCTGGAGCCAGATTCACGAAGCAGTTACGCAAGCACTTACGAACCTGGAGCCAGATTCACGAAGCAGTTACGGAAGCACTTACGAACCTGGAGCCAGATTCACGAAGCAGTTACGCAAGCACTTACGAACCTGGAGCCAGATTCACGAAGCAGTTACGCAAGCACTTACGAACCTGGGGCCAGATTCACGAAGCAGTTACGCAAGCACTTACGAACCTGTACATCTTTTCTCAATCTTTGGCGGCTTTGTTTACAATTATTAAACAGTTAATGAGCTCGGAAGCACCAGGAGGCTGTTTATAACAATAACAACAGTTGATTGGCAAGTTTTCATGCTTGTAAACTGTTTAATAAATGTAACCAAAGCCGTCAAAGATTGAGGAAAGATGTACACGTTCGTAAGTACTTACGTAACTGTTTCGTGAATCTGGTCCCAGGTTGGGAAGGTAAAGGCTTGCCTTAGAGGGAGCCGGTCGGCCGAGCGGACAGCACGCTGGATTTGTGATCCTGTAGTCCCGGGTTCGATCCCGGGCGCCGGCGAGAAACAATGGGCAGAGTTTCTTTCACCCTATGCCCCTGTTACCTAGCAGTAAAATAGGTACCTGGGTGTTAGTCAGCTGTCACGGGCTGCTTCCTGGGGGTGGAGGCCTGGTCGAGGACCGGGCCGCGGGGACAATAAAAGCCCCGAAATCATCTCACGATAACCTCAAGATAGAAGCAGAAAACATTGTTATATATAACTTTAACCACACCACCACACGGCGCTATACAACACACGGACTACTTTTTATACTATAGCTTTTCTGTTGCATATATGTCTGGGGACCATGCAGGCTTGTTCGCACTATATCTTATATACGTCAATTATTGGAAATTGAAAGCTGGTGCGGTAATATCAATATTTTGAGTGACGGGAAGATGATAAGGCCCAGAAGACAGGATTGAAAAACGACACAAAGTGATGTAAAGAATCTTTATAAATGACGGGTTAAATGGTTACTAGACTTCAACCCATATAAGTGTAAACTAATGAGAAATGACGAACCACGAAGACGTTTTGATATGTAGCGACATGAAAGAGAGACGGCTCCTTGAAGCAGGAAAATAGTCGGATGCTTCAAGCCATTTAATTCATCACTTGGGGCCTCAAATATGATAAATAAAATGGTCATTGTGAAAATTCGAAATTGAAGAAGTGTTGACAGTTTTATTGCAAGTGTGTCGTGGACACCCAAGTGTGTCGTGGACACCCAAGTGTGTCGTGGACACCCAAGTGTGTCGTGGACACCCAAGTGTGTCGTGGACACCCAAGTGTGTCGTGGACACCCAAGTGTGTCGTGGACACCCAAGTGTGTCGTGGACACCCAAGTGTGTCGTGGACACCCAAGTGTGTCGTGGACACCCAAGTGTGTCGTGGACACCCAAGTGTGTAGTGGACACCCAAGTGTGTCGTTGACACCCAAGTGTGTCGTTGACACCCAAGTGTGTCGTGGAGGACACCCAAGTGTGTCGTGGACACCCAAGTGTGGCGTGGAGGACACCCAAGTGTGTCGTGGACACCCAAGTGTGTCGTGGACACCCAAGTGTGTCGTGGACACCCAAGTGTGTCGTGGACACCCAAGTGTGTCGTGGACACCCAAGTGTGTCGTTGACACCCAAGTGTGTCGTGGAGGACACCCAAGTGTGTCGTGGACACCCAAGTGTGGCGTGGAGGACACCCAAGTGTGTCGTGGACACCCAAGTGTGTCGTGGACACCCAAGTGTGTCGTGGACACCCAAGTGTGTCGTAGAGGACACCCAAGTGTGTCGTGGACACCCAAGTGTGTCGTGGAGGACACCCAAGTGTGTCGTGGACACCCAAGTGTGTCGTGTAGACACCCAAGTGTGTCGTGGACACCCAAGTGTGTCGTGGACACCCAAGTGTGTCGTGGACACCCAAGTGTGTCGTGGACACCCAAGTGTGTCGTGGACACCTTCCCAGCCTTCCCCCTCTCCCTAACTACCCTAACTCCGGAGCGGAAGGATCGGTGTCCAGCCTAACAGCAGTGTTGGCGGCGGCAGTATAACTACTCGACACAGATATATTGTCCACGATAACTGCCGGACAATATATCTAAAGTCAAGAGAGTAACAAACAGCATTCAGGAGCACATGACTACGGAATACCAGGAACACACGACCCTGGCACGGAACACCTGCTACACACGACCCTGGCACGGAACACCTGCTACACACGACCCTGGCACGGAACACCTGCTACACACGACCCTGGCACGGAACACTTGGAACACACGACCCAGGCACGGAACACCAGGAACACACGACCCGACCATTTACTTGCTATCCACTAAGACACAAAGTTAATCTCTAGGAAGCTCAACAATATGTTACAAGAGTCCAGAGACAGTAGCGCACTGGGCGGAAAGACTAAATAACCTGGATCTTAATACATTAGATTAGTGAGCGGAGAAGGTGACATGATTACGATGTATAAAATCCTAAGAGACATTGCGAAACTGCATGAAGTCAAATAACAAGAATTAGAACAATTATTTACCCTCTCAGGATAGTTGGTAAGGAAATAAGCTAGAGAAGGCAGTGGAATATTATTAACGGTATACGTGGATAGAAATGTAGGTAATTACCTTGAAGTTACCTTGAAGTGTTTCCGGGGCTTAGCGTCCCCGCGGCCCGGTCGTCGACCAGGCCTCCTCGTTGCTGGACTGGTCAACCAGGGTCTTTGACGCGGCTGCTCGCAGCCTGACATATGAATCACAGCCTGGTTGATCAGCTATCCTTTGGAGGATACCTGATCAACCAGATCAACCTGGTAGAAATCTTAAGGACATAGATCAGTCGTTTTGCACGACCCTCAACTGAAAAAAGGATTGGGCCCCAAGAGCCAACGTCCGGCTCTTCAAGAGCAATTAGGTGAACATATCTCTCGTGTGTATATGTATACAACACATACACAACGACACTATACCATAAATTAATTCCCCTCGGGGTCTTCTCTCCCCAATATCACATTAATCTCCGCGTCCAGTCTCCTCTGCATGGAGAGTTAAGAGCAACATATTTCTCCCAGAAAAGACTGAAAATTGAGTCTCATTTATCTCTCAGTCTGTCGTCTCCACGAAGACCCTCACAGCATCCACGGAAGCGAGCATCCTGGATCTCATTCATCTCCCGAGGACCTCTCCTCTCTCTACCTCAGGAGATGTGTGCTGGAGGCTGCAGCATCCCCTCTACTGGCTCAGTGGTAGTGGAGTCGTCTTGTCAGTCGAGCTCCTTCACCGAGGATAGTCTACCTAACGTCATCACTATTTATTCTCAACCTTATCTGTTGCACAGGTTAACATGTGTAGCATTGTTGAGTTACTTGGTTACATAGAGCTGGGATCTAATTCTCCATGGGAGGTACCAGGAGAGCTGCTTCTGTTGACAACAGACCACAACAACAGACCACAGCAACAGACCACAGCAACAGACCACAGCAACAGACCCCAGCAACAGACCACAGCAACAGACCACAGCAACAGACCACAGCAACAGACCACATCAACAGACCACAGCAACAGACCACAGCAACAGACCACAGCAACAGACCACAGCAACAGACCACAGCAACAGACCACAGCAACAGACCCCAGCAACAGACCACAGCAACAGACCACAGCAACAGACCACAGCAACAGACCACAGCAACAGACCACAGCAACAGACCCCAGCAACAGACCATAGCAACAGACCACAGCAACAGACCATAGCAACAGACCACAACAACAGACCACAGCAACAGACCACAACAACAGACCACAGCAACAGACCACAGCAACAGACCATAGCAACAGACCACAGCAACAGACCACAGCAACAGACCACAGCAACAGACCACAGCAACAGACCACAGCAACAGACCATAGCAACAGACCATAGCAACAGACCACAGCAACAGACCACAGCATCAGACCACAGCAACAGACCACAGCAACAGACCCCAGCAACAGACCATAGCAACAGACCACAGCAACAGACCATAGCAACAGACCACAACAACAGACCACAGCAACAGACCACAACAACAGACCACAGCAACAGACCACAGCAACAGACCACAGCAACAGACCACAGCAACAGACCACAGCAACAGACCACAGCAACAGACCCCAGCAACAGACCATAGCAACAGACCACAGCAACAGACCATAGCAACAGACCACAACAACAGACCACAGCAACAGACCACAACAACAGACCACAGCAACAGACCACAGCAACAGACCACAGCAACAGACCACAGCAACAGACCACAACAACAGATCACAGCAACAGACCACAGCAACAGACCACAGCAACAGACCACAGCAACAGACCACAACAACAGATCACAGCAACAGACCACAGCAACAGACCACAGCAACAGACCACAGCAACAGACCACAACAACAGATCACAGCAACAGATCACAGCAACAGACCATAGCAACAGACCACAACAACAGACCACAGCAACAGACCACAGCAACAGACCATAGCAACAGACCACAGCAACAGACCACAGCAACAGACCCCAGCAACAGACCACAGCAACAGACCACAGCAACAGACCACAGCAACAGACCACAGCAACAGATCACAACAACAGACCATAGCAACAGACCACAGCAACAGACCACAGCAACAGACCACAGCAACAGACCACAACAACAGATCACAGCAACA